TGTGTGTGTGTGTGTGTGTGTGTGTGTGTGTGTGTGTGTGTGTGTTGGGGGAGGGGGGGGGGTTTAACGATGTGTCCTCCATACCCAGTTCCAACAGGAAAAATGTGGAAACAAAAAACAAACGGCCTGGCCACCTGACATGCTCCAAGTGACAAAATACAGAAGTGGTTAAGACCTCTGTTCCATCAGACCCTAGATGTGTGATGTCACCCGTAGTCGTTTTAGGAAGAGCTCCGATTCCAAAGTGCAGTCATGTCTTGCATCTGACTGGGCCGGTGGAATTTTCCCAGTGAAATGGCTGCAGTCCTTTTGGCAAAACGAGGAGCTGCCTGAGCACATGAAAGAGAAGCAGGTTGGCGCGTTGCTCGTCCCGCGGTTAGCAGGCTTCTCTGCTTTGGCTTGGGATCACTGTCGTCTCAAAAGCGACCAATGGCAGTCTGAGGGGCAGGGACTGAACCTGAACCTCTTACTCAGCCCGTAGCTTGGGAGGGGCGGGCGGGGTTTCCAGGGTGGGGGTGGGGCCTGAGCTTGCGGGGAGGGGTCACTACCTCTGCTTTCTAACGCGTGTTATAGTAGGAATCTCCGTAGCCCTCAAGGCAGGCAGGACCTTGGCTTTAAAGCGCGTCGGTCAGCTGGCCTGCACCACCCACACCCTCTGTCCGGGCTCTGGTAAGCTGGACCAAATAGGTAGGTGGCCTTTCCCTGTTCAGGAAATCCAAACAATACAACTTCTATTGTGACTTCACGCCCAAAGCTGAGTGACCCTGCTCTCGGTGTAAGGGGACCTGCAGCACATGGGCCTTTGCTGGGTGGGCACTTCCTTCCCATGGAAGCTGAGATATTTTATACACCAAAATAATGGTTTCACCTGAGTACTACTCTGCCCCACCTTTCAGTGTCCCCCCCCACTTGCTTAGTGACTGGGTGTTCTCCAGCAACCAGGCATCCCTCTGGGTCCTGGTGGGGAGGGCACCTCCTTGCAGTTCTGTGTGTGGTTCTACTTGTGCTGCTGAGAATCTGCTCTTCTCACAGCCCTGGGGGTTCCAACAGTGACTGTAGAATGAGATCTGTCTGTCTATCACTCTGCTTTGCTTTTTGTTTTCACACTTTCTCTCTTTGTTAATGCGCAGTACCTGCTTTCAGTGCATCTCAGTTCATTCCAGCATCTATATTAAGTGGATGCACCTGTAAAAGACCTCAATCCCCAAATCCCTTTAAAAAGCTGCTTCTGCACATGTACAGTGGACAGTGTGACACTAGCTCCTGCCCACTTGCTTATTGAGTTGTCCATTCTAATAACTGATGTATCTGTGATTTCAAGTCAAACATGTGGCATTTCAGCATTACTCTTGACACTAATTTTAAGTTGCCCCAGGTTGGGTACAGCTCTCTCATTGGCTTTTAACATCTGGTTTATGGGGTCAGAAGCCACCTGTGTTACAGTAACTATCCTGAGGGTTAGTCAATTATAATTTCTAATAAGTGGATTTTAAGTGCTATCCACTTGTCTGCCATTTTGGTTTTAGTGCTGTAAGTCATCTTTGTTGCTTATATTTATCAGTTGTCTTTTATATGCCTTAAATTCAAGTGAGTGTATCAGTGAATTGAATGATAGACCTGTTAGGATGTAAATTAATTATGATGGTGTATTGGAAGATGTACGTATTTAAAATTGGTATTCTTAACCAATATTTTAGTTAGACCATACATGTCTAATTTTTTTTCTATAGGTACTTCGCTCATAGCTACTTCTGAAGAATGTCACTCTAACCAGCAAATATATCCCATTTCTGCCTCATAGTTGTCGGAATCATACAATACTAACATTTGTCTATTTGTCAGCCACAAAGAGGTCTGTGGAATAGTTTGGATCTGGTGTTCGTGACGAGACCCTGTGGTTTAATCTCTCCCTATGCTTGCAGACGATATTTACCTGTTCTCCGAGGTTTCCCGGCCAAGTACATCTACGATCCCTGGAACGCTCCAGATTCTGTGCAAGCCGCTGCCAAGTGCATTGTGGGTATCCACTACCCCCGGCCTATGGTCAACCATGCGGAGGCTAGCCGTCTGAACATCGAGAGGATGAAGCAGATCTACCAGCAGCTGTCACGTTACCGTGGACTTGGTTAGTGGGGTCCTTGTTCTAAGAGGCCTGTCATCTGTCGTCTCCTGCTGTCCACGGCCTGGCTTTCTGCAGCTTTGCATGCCTTAATGGCCACCACACTCGTTGCAGCTGAACGTGCTCTCCGTTTGGTTTTTATGATCACGTTGGTCTCACTGCATCTGCTGGTGCCCTGTCGCGAAAGTGTTATCCTTCACTGTTAGATAGTTGGCTGTTGTATGACTATTCATTTATGGTGTCTTGACAACTGCAAGTATGGTATTCATAGGTTCCATCTCCTGTTCTCACTAATGGGAGTTGGTGTTGCTTATAAACAGGTCTGCTGGCATCCGTGCCATCGAATCACCACGGAAACGGCAATGGAGGGCTGATGGCCTACTCGCCTGGGGAGCAGCCTGCAGCCGCTGCAGTCAGCGCAGCCCAGGGTGAGTTCATCTTCCCTGCAGGCCATGGGCTCTGCTTCCCAGGTGGGTGTGGGATTGTAACTCTCCCTGTTTTCAGCGCCGGGTGCAGCAGGAGGTTCAGTCACCGGCGGCAAAGGCAGTGGAAGCATCCTGCTGAACTTTGACAGCGAGGATCAGCCGGGTCTGAGCGGCGGGCAGCAGCACGGTGGGCAGGGTGGGCTCGGCTTTGAGTGACATGGGGGCTCCTGCCACTTGCGCACGCTCATCTGGCTACTTGTGCCTTATCACCCTCAGGCTATCATGGCACGGCAGACCCAGGCCAGGCGACGGCCAGCCAACGCCTTTACCAAGCCTGCAGTTCACACGAGTTCGCTGTGCCCCAGCATCCAGGTAACAGAATTCATCAGCACTGACTGAATCCAAAGTGTCTCACAGGGTTTCTCTGTGGAGAGTCTGTGTTTATCTTGGTTACCCAGACCAATTTGATATTGAAGTTTTCCTGATACTATTTTGGTGTCTCTAAATGGGCAAGATGGATTGAAGGACCTCCTTGTAAAGATAGATCAATAAAAAAGATAAATCCTTTATTTGCCATTTGTACGAGTAAAGGTACACTAGAATTCTTATCTTTGCCTACCCCCATCTTGCTCTCCATAGCTTGGGGGGTCATGGCGCAGGGTCAGCCAACGTGCGGCGTCCCTGGAACTGGGGGTTAAGGGCCTTGTTGAAGGGCCCATGGACATGTGACTGCTCTGCTGAGGCCAGGGCTCGAACCAGTCATCTTCCGATCACTGGTACAGAGACTTAGCCCGCTGAGCCACTCATCGCCACCTTATGAAATGTTTCTGTGATGCTTAATTTCTGGTGGTGCTGGAGAGCTGGAACCAGTGCAGAAACAGGAAGTGCACTGATGTGTCATGAGCTGCATGAATGTTTTTTCTTTTCTTTGTCTGTTGCAGGGCGCCTGAGTCACGGTGGTCCCTCGGGGAAGAGGGAGCGTGAGCTGGAACGAGAGACCATGGGCGACGGTGACACTCACACATCCTCGCGTAAGGTGCAGAGGCACAGTTCAGAGGTCAGTGGCAAGTGACTGGAGTCGTGTAGCTAGTCTGCCAGAGATCTTGGCATCAGCCATATATCTGGTGGTTAAGTAGAACTGCTGTTATCTGAAAAGCTAACTCTGCTAATGGCTGAATTACAGTAATCGCCCAAAATGGAAGAACAACTCTCGGGTTTTTCCACATACAAGATGGAGTCCAGCCTCGTGTTAATGACGTTGTTTTGTCTTTCAGAAGAGCTAAGAAAAAACATCGTGTCTTACTGAACCCTTTTATCTGCTGAAAACCTGAACATCAAAATAACAACACTGAAGATCTATTTTTTAAATATTTTTTCCACCAAAAATTGTATTATTTTAAGATTTATTTGAAGTCATTGGGCCTTTATTTTAAATCAAAGATTCAAATCAAAGCATACAGTTTTTATTTTTAAGAACCCTGGATTCAAAGGTGAAAATGTGACATGGTTACATGTTAGGTGTTGGGGTAAAAGTGGACATTGCAGGAAGCTCAGCCTGGCACAGTCAGTGTTCAGGGGGTGCAGCACATGGTCAGCCGCCGTAAAGCTCTTCTTACTGCCCATCTCTCCTGCTCCCGGCTAACACAGCGGCACCCTTAGCTAAGACTGAGGACATTCCTTCCTGAGTATGTCGCTGAAAGTCTAAGGTTGGAAGTGAGGTAGAAGGGGACATGACTCTACAGATGTGTGACCTCAACACATTGGTCCAGCACCTTCGATCTCATTGCTGAAATCCTGCTCTTCACCATCCTAGAGCAGCTGCCATTCATCAGGCACTGATTCTCTTGGCTAATGAACCTGCCCTGAATCTCTGCCACTACTCAGAGCTCAGAACCTCAAAAGGACACCTAGTCTAGGATTGTACTGAAACAAAGGTAGCTATCATCCATGTGATTAATCTGTGTGGTGCTCCATGCTGTTTGCAGTCAGGACTCTGGATTTACATTCATGGACTCCCAGGTCACATCTCTGCTCTGCCTGTGTTCCTCAGCGGCCTGTTTCCATGGAGCTCGTAAATGTGACCGACTGCCCGTAAGGGAGCATATTCCATTTGGAACGTCTGTCCTTTGGTGGTGCAAAGGTTCCACTGTTTGTCCTCATTATTTTTGTATATATACAGTTTATATGTATATACATTATACACCATGCAAATGCTGTATGTGGAGTAGCATGTTAGCATCTTGTTTTTATCAAAAGCGAAGCAACTGGAGAACAGCGCGTTGCGTATTACTGCCCGACTTGAGTGCCGCACACCGGCAGCCCTTCCCGTACCGACAGCTGGAGAACAGCGCGTTGCGTATGTAATCCCAGCCTGTTACTGCCCGACCTGAGTGCCGCACACCGGCAGCCCTTCCCGTACCGACAGCGTGTCAAACCTCATTCACACCATGTCACGGGTACTGAAGTGCATCCTCTCCCAGCACTTTGCCTAATTACCTAATGTTAATTTATGTCATTTACAAACCAATTGCCTGTTCTGGGGTATTAACATTATACAGGATATTAGCCTCCTAACTGCCTCAGGAAACGTGCAGCAAAAGACCAGATTTCTTATGCCAGTTACAGTCCAATGCTGACTGCAGGTAGAAATGTTTAACTTTCATTATGTTGGTCACTTGTCCTCATTTTACCCCATCCCAGTTTCATCACACATTTTCACCACTTTCAGAAAGGCTAAACAGGAGAAAATGAAAGAAAATGATCCTGAAATGATCAGTAAACAAAAAGATGTTTTTCCCCTCAATGTCACACACCTCAGATATACCATTTCATAAAACAAAGATTTGCTTTAGATTAGAAAGCTGAAGGACAGTGTCCAGGAAACTCCTCAGCATTTTTATAAAATTTTTAATAAAACGATAAAATATAAAAAATCAAGTTAAGCAAGTTGTCAGAAAGAGATTGAGACCCTCGTTTCTGCCGTTAGACGTGAAATGGACTAAGGTTAGGGTTATATAAGGTTTTTATATAGTCTAACACTGCAGCTGTCTACTGTCCTTGATGACAAAACATTCCTCATGTTCCAAATCCATTTAAATGGTGCCTCAGAAATGGAATCGATTGGAGATTCACATGTACGTCTGAGCTGTACAATGCATTGGCAACCTAGCAGCTCCGCTTCTGGCTATATATTTGCTTAGCAGTTTGCTGTGTTTTTCCCCAAACCAAGATGGCCAATAAGAGTTTTGTAATGAGGCTTAGATATTGATTTGGTAATCGATTCAAATTCGCCATGAGGATAGGCTTGTGATATTTTTTAACACCATATTATACCTATTTTTATAGTCAATGTGCTGTGGGAACAGTCTTGTTTAAACATATTTGCTTCTGTAGCCCCCTTCCCCAAGCAAAAAAAAAAAAACATAAAATCCAAATCCATTTTTTAAGTCGTTCCCCCCCCCCATGTTGCACGTTGCTTATTCACCAGTAAGAGTGCAGACTGCTTCAGGTGGCTCTAGTTGAGTCTGTGTGTATTTTCTTTCATAGGAAATGGGAGCCTGAACAGCACTTGGCCTCATTAGTGTGGCTCCCATTGTTTTTGCTTCATACAGCAGTGTCCAGTATATTATTATAAACTGCATTGTTGCTGTAGATTTTGACAATCATTTTATCCTCATTCATTTCCTTCCTCAAAAATAAAGCAAAACAAATGCCATGGTATAGATGTATTGTCTAGTTTGTAAGTTGTTGTACTTGTGCTTAATTGTAATGTGGATGAATAAAACTGCTGCTGCAGTGAAAGGTCTTGACTTATTGCATCCTGTGTCATTAACCAGCCACAACTCAAAAAGTATTTGATGGATTGTTTTCAAATTTGCAGTCATGTTGTATGGGTGAAGATGTGGAACTGATCAATTTTTGAGAGAATTTGCATGGTAACAAGTATCCTCCAAGGGAGGAATGGGGGAAATGCGCAGAGCAGTTAGACTCCAAAATGAAAGCTTAAGGGGTGAAAAGCAAAATCCACAGACACAACAGGACCTCTGATATTGTGGCCAAAATGTTAAAATCAACGGTCACATTAAACTTAAAATGGTTATATCATCCATCTCAGTATGCACAATATTATTCTAGTTTTAGGTTCTTAATGATGTACTTTAAATATTTTTCTTATGCAAAAATGAATTGTTTGATGACTACATCTCTGCCAACCAATCTATTTACAGCTCCTGTACCAGCAGTAAAAGCAAAAATAAAGATGTTTCTGTGTGGGCAATGCCATTTATCAGGATCAACTTGACCTGAGGAAGGGTGAAGAAGACATGAGTTAACTGTTATTTGTTAGGCTATTCACAATGCCACCTAAAAGGGAACCACTGCCCTTTTCTCTGTGCTACTAAGGGACAGGCTCCCAGGACCCATATGCCCTTGTACTAGATCATCAGAAAGTGGATGAAGTGACTCATGTTAGATTTACCTGGAACACATAGGATATTTTGCATATACTTTGATGAAACCCTGAAAAATACAGCCATAGTGAACTGGAAATGTGCAACAGGTAAGAGCTCCATTATACTACCTCACAAATGTTCACCATAAACACGTGATTGGGGGTACTACTGAGGATGAACATCTTGGTTTGGTCTTAATTCTGAACTCCAAATTAAGATATGCTTTCTAATTGTGATTAAATGTATGCAGTCATACAAAGAGATTATACTCCACAAACCAAAAAGTCTGCATTATTTTGTGCGTGTTTTGCAGTTTCCCTGCAGGTAGAATGCTATCCCATGTTTTTGACTAAGGCAACAGAGGTGGGAGTAGTAAATAATCAATAGTTCATAGATGGAGGATGCAATATAAAATCTACTTCATTAACTGAATTGCCCAGATAGGGACTACTTTTTAGTATCAATCCACCACTGACACCAACTCTTCTCATTAGCACCATAACTTTAAAAGTATTTGGTGGATCATTTTCAAATTTGCAGTCACATTATACAGGTGAAGATCTGGAACTGATCAAATTTTTAGAGAAACTGCACCAAAATTGAAGCAGTGCCACTTAGTGGTGGCATATGAAAGGACAAGCAGAGATGCATATCTGGTGAACCTGATTATATTGGGACAAGTCACACAAAGTTGGGCTTTTAAGAAAGATTTCTTAGACAGGTGGGGATAGTGAATTGGGGGGCTAAGGATTGTACAGATGGGGGTTGTGGGAGGATTAGGAATTACATGGGGAGTAGAGCTGTCCACGTAATACTCTGATGTTTACGACTATGTAATTCAGGAGGCAGCCCACCAAGATGAAAAAGCAGCTGGGATTTTCCAGTAGGAAGCAAAATCAATACTACAGAAATAGTATTACACAAATATTTTAATATATTGAAATGACACTAAGCAGTACTGTAGGCACCCTGTATAGGGTTACCACAGCAGATAAGCATAAAGGTATCTTTTGCATTGAAGTGCAGTTAAACATTTACACAAAAATGTTCACAAAAAATGCAGACCATTTCATACTGTACAGCTGCATGTGGAAGGGTGCAAACTCCTTTTCTATCAGGATGGCCAGTAAATTTCCCTGGGTCTGTGCAGCTAAACCAGAAGACAGTCTCTAACAAGCTGATATACAGACACGTACTGGATGCACTCATACAGTGCATCAAATGCATTTGTGCATCACGTCATGGAGAATTGCAGCAGCACAAGAAAAAAACTGCAGAAATTTGATCTGTAAAACAGCATTCAGGGATAAAACCAAGACATCAGGAGAAACTGGAATGGACCACGTGAGATAGGTTAGCACACAGCCAACATGCTAAACAGTGGATTGTGCTAAACTGAGTGGATTGTGTCTCACCTTGCCTATCTGTACAACATACATAACTAGAGGGAAAAAAGCAAAAAGCTATACAAAGGCACTGAATAAATCTAAAATTCTACTTCATCTCTGCTTGATGGTATAAATGTTCAGTCTTGTTTTAAGGCTCAGGTGTGTGTGTGTGTGTGTGTGTGTGTGTGTGTGTGTGCGATGGGGGCGGTCAGTTGGTGGCCCCAACTATCACATCTTACTCTGCCTTGTCTTTTGCTTTTTTGACAAAGGGCACTTTGCTGGCTACTGAGCTCCCAACTGTGGACACACCCCCCGTCACTGCGGCCACGCCCCCTTTAACCAGGCCGACGCCCACAGATGGGACAGATGTCACTGCAGATTTGGTGATCTGCAGGCTCTTGCCCCCCAGCCAGGCAACACTTCCCACTGTGGCTCCCATCGCTCCCTTGGTGGCACTGATGAGGCTTCCTGTCATGCGCCAGATCATGCCTGGCTGGGTTTCTGAATGCTCCTTCCCATCATCTGCACCAAAACACATAAGAACAAGCTTTTAGGTTTAAAGGTCAATGTTCCTACTGGATACAGCCTACTGTTAAATGCTGGTGGAAGTTTGGAACTACGTGGTTACTGAGTGAGAGAGTTGGCGACATTGGCGAGGGCCTTGGACCTCGGGGACCCACTCTCTTACTTTACAGCATGTGGTCTGCCACTTCGTCTTTGAGTTTCTATTGTTCTTAAACGCTTCCACTTTGCAATAATACCACTTACAGTTGACTATGGAAAATCTAGAAGGGAAGAAATTTTATGAACTTATTTATTACAAAAGGTGGCATTCTTCGGCAACAGGTTTGAATCAAACACCTGAATTGAATGTGTCCCAATACTTTTGTCCATGTAGTGTATATAAAGCACTGCCAAAACACTTGGAAACAATTTTACCCAGAGCTTAAAAAACAGTTGCCTACTTTCCCTTCCTAAAGCAGCTAAATAGAACATCATTCTAAACAGTAATAATAAAATTTATTCATGCCCTTAATGTACTTTCATATTACAGAAAAAAAAGATATTTTTTTAAATGAATATGGATACATTGAATGGAATTGCAAAGAATAATATTATTTTCACGTTTTAGCCTGAAAAATGCATCTTGTGTAGCTGTTTTGTGATCGCATACGTTCAGTTCCCCGCAGCTGCGTTTTGTGATCGCATACGTTCAGTTCCCCGCAGCTGCGTTTTGTGATCGCATACGTTCAGTTCCCCGCAGCTGCGTTTTGTGATCGCATACGTACAGTTCCCCGCAGCTGCGTTTTGTGATCGCATACGTTCAGTTCCCCGCAGCTGCGTTTTGTGATCGCATACGTTCAGTTCCCCGCAGCTGCGTTTGTGATCGCATACATACAGTGCCCCGCAGCTGCGTTTGTGATCGCATACATTCAGTGCCCTGCAGCTTTGAACTACTGCCTCATTGTGTCAGCCAGTAACTGACAAGACATTCACACTCATTTTCATTTCCCAGTCTTCCCTTTCACCAGACGATTTTTTGAGGTTACAAAATACTTCGACATCACTGCAAGATGGATTTTGAACGCTGTGTAGCTTGACGTCAAAACTAAATTTAAAAATGCAGTATTTACCAGATTCAGGCTGGCTGAGTGGAGGGTCTGCCTCAGTTTCCTTGTAACAGCCACTCTGCTGTGTGCCAGAGTTGACATTCTGGTGGAAAAAATGTCATATTCTCAAAGTTAATGGACATGACCAGACCCACCCCACAACTATAGTATTATTTATTATATGTTTATTATACACGGTAATGCCAATTTCCTATTGTGAAGATACTGTGCATTCCATTGAACAAGCAAATGAAGATATGAATTATTTAGTTTTCACACATCCCATTTTGCTCTTTTATGAGACACACATACACAAACACAGGTGAGAGATTGAAGTCTGGGTCAGAGCACAGGCTCAGACATTTCTCTGACATCCTGGAGCAGTTTTTGGGGTTTAAGACCTAGCTGAAGGGTCCAACATAATCTATATATAGGCATCTTTTTTTTTCTTTTTTTCTTAATAAAACCATAGTGGAGTATAACGTGTTTCTGTTGGTAAAAATATACTATCCACTTCAGGCTAATTTCAGAAGAGATTTACAGTAGTAAATATATACCTGCTCTGTCCAATCATCCATATCGCGCAAGACATTTAATTCGAGCACATGAATGTCGTTTGCAAAGATATGAAGGTCCTCTTAGCACATCGTGATTGTTCGTTTTTATGACCATTACTATGAACTGCATGTAATATACATCAGGATATTTTTTCAGCGTAATACAATTTTTTTACATTCTCATGAGATCAGCAACTTAAACGGGAAAAAACCTAATACTGGGGCTAAAATCTCAGTTTTAAGGTTGCGGAGCAATTCCCGAAAGCAACAAGTTATTAATAGACATGAGCGTAAGAAACATCCAGCGCTTACCTTCACCATTGTTCCCAGATGCGTTAAATGTTCTCCCGTATGACCCTGCTGAGGTTATTTCAGCGTCCGTTTACCTGGAATACCTTTCCCTGTTGGCCGCCAAACACTTGGCACAAAGGAAAACACATTCAGACCTGAGCAATGCGTACAATAACAAACTAGAACAGTCCTTCTCTGCGGCGCATTCGCTGCCTACGGCGTACAGTACTATTGCCTAAGTGCACTCACAGACAACTTCTCACTCGGCCGAGCGGCGTAGCCCCCGCTGCCGACGTGGCGCTCGCTGCGCACCGAGTCGTCCGCTGGCTCTATCCGGATCTTGCGTCACTTCAACCAGAGCGCAAACATTTTGCTACAGTCTGACTAAAATACTCCTTATAAAACAAATCGTGCGTATTTCGTGACTTGAACTACAATATGCTGTCTAACATCTCAAAGTAGTTGAAATAGCCTAAGTGCTTTTAATGTGTAAATATTTGAATGCGTCCCTCGTTTGAAAATGTTTGTTAAAATGAGAACTTAGAATTTTGAATATTTCATGTTCACGCTAATACAAACTCGTTCATAACCTTGATTAATCGGGATACAACTATAACAGTTAACTGAAGTGAATGCTGGTAATATGTATTCCTGCTCTAATAATAGAGAACATGCTCTTCACAGCACGTCACTAATTATAGTGGCTTCCTTTAATAAATATAAACAGTCTTCTTTAATAGCCTTTAGGCACGTACCCTTTTGCCTTGAACTGCATTAGAGAAACTATTATTTAAAATATGGTACTATATTCTGCATGGACAGTTATTTTATCAGTTTACACTGAGTTTACATTTAAAAAGTTTGCAGTTAACATGTAAGTTTGCATGTAACTTGGTTACATGAAGATATGAAGATACAAACTAGCGGCACTAGCCGAATAAAATATATGGGCACTAATTGCAGCAGGCATTTTACTGGAAGGCTGTAGCTGTGTACTGAGTAGATCAATTGCAATTTTATGTGCAGGTGCATACATTTTATTATTTATTTTTTTGGTGGGGGGGAGGCGCAAATACCGCGGTATACAGCGTTACCGTAATAACCCCCTCTCGCAACCGTCCCTCATCCGCCTCGGTGTAGTAGTGTTAGCTTAGGCCAAACTGGAGCAAATATCTACTCAGATCTCTTTCCCATAATATCTACGGTTTAGGATATTATATTATTTAAAGCCAATGAGAATGAATTTAGTGTGTGACTCAACCAGTCTAGGCTAGCAGAATTGCTAATTTCAGGTGATATAAATTATGCACCATCAAACCAACCATCAATTATTATTACCACGGATATCATAAATTAGATATTTTAGAGTACTGCCTACCCTTCAGTCTTCGATAGTTCAAGTACCTTTGGGGAAAATTCAATCGAATTTAAGGTGTTTTTTTCTTCTGCAATTAGTTGCTTTTTAAGTCATGCTGCGGAAAGACGCTATTGTCTACCTGCAGGAACAGCAGGGACGATACGATGACAAAGAAAGGGAGAAACTGATAAAAATGGAGGCTCTTTACCAAAAGAGGTAATTGAAGCGCAATTTCCCTTGTTTTGCATAAATGTTTTTGGTTTGCCGCAGACACGAGGGTCTGATGGCTAACTTTAAAGCTGAGCCTCACCCCCGTGCGCTTTCCTTCTAGGCTCTGGCATCAGCTCACGGTGGAGCTGCTGGACTTCGTTCAGAGGCCGGCACTTGCCTCTGATGGCCGGATTCTGAAGGTTTGTACTACAGGGATAACCGCGCAGTAAAGGTTTCCTGTCGGAGCTTATAAGGAACGTTATCTGTCGCAAAGGTTGCATCAGGACAACGGCGTCGCTGAAACGAGGGCAGTGCTTAACCAGTGTTTTGCATGACCCGACAGACCTTTACTGTAAACATCTGCCATGTAGGTAACTTATTAGCATTCACCGTATGGGGTTGTTTACACTGGAAATAACAATTACCCTTATCATCGGAGGGTAAACAGGTATCTCTCAATATTACAACCGCTTATCCTGGTAAAGGACCAAGCAGACCTGTCGTTCATTACCGATTCTAGTACATTATATAACGCCATTGGAGACCAAGATACTCTCTTTCGCCCCCTGCTGAGTGATGTGCAGATGTCTGTAAGCGGTAACTGGCGAATCTTTTACAGTGAAAACCTTTGTTAGGCCTTTTGTTGCAGTGAGCCAACAGAAAAGTACCGATTTCCATGAAAGGGCTGATGGCACTCATTTCACTTACACAGAATATGGTGACTAATTTTTTTAAGAAGCGGAATATTCATCGTGTGTGTGTGTGTAATATTTAATGTTATCACCTTTGATATTAGTTGGAATATTAGCTGGTGAAAAATAATTACAATTTGCTTTGAATTTTAACGATTTTAGTTTTACATTTTACCCAGCACTTGCAAATTTTTGGTAAAAAGCGGGCACTTTCAGAAAGCCCCCCCCGTCCCCCCACCCCCGGGCGTGCAGCCATTAGGGCCGAGAGTGGCCGTAAACGCTCTGCTGAACTGTGTGCCTTGACTCATCATTCATTAGAGGATCCCTCATCAAGAGTAATTTTATTTATGTATTTTACACATCTTCCCTTCATGCTTTTTTGATGTTTAAATATACATAGTTTTCATTTGCATTTATGCATAAGCTGGAAATTTATTCCATCAGTTGTCCTTTTCCACAGTTGTATGAGAACTTCATCTGCGACTTCGAGCATAGGTGAGTTCTGTTGCAGGAAGTCTGCATGTCCTTTGAGGTTGACTGTCAGAATACTGGTCTTGTAAGAGGAGAGCACCACCATTGTCCTTGATTTCACAGCTGACACAGTTTGATGTTTGATGCAAAGTAAATTTTCTGTGTAGTCATGCTGTGATTTCTATGTACCAATACTCATTATGCTGTCATTTTGAGAAGGAATCTTTGCACTTGTATGTGGAAATGCACTTCAGAACACTTGAAATAGTAGTAACGTCAGAATGGCCTTATTTGCCCTTAAATCAAAGTAATGCACATGTAGTGCAATCTGCTTCACATTTTTCCAGAATGAATCCATTGTCCCTTGTGGAAATGATCCTTCTAGCTGCACAGCAAGTGCGTGGTGAGTCAGTGCAATGGCTGCATTCATCATGTGGACTTGGTCATCGTGTAAACTAATGTATAACTTTACTGTCCTTCTTGAGAACAGATGCTGGAAATGCCTTGAAGCTGCTTGAGAAAACCAGAGAGAAGGTACCTTAACTGAGATACTTTCATTACACTCTTATATCTGCTACCCCCAAGACGGCTGATGTATTTTAGTGGTATGCAGTGCCACCTAGAGGATCATATAAGAACAGCTTGCCTGTGGTGGAGCCCGACCTTTCTCCCTTGTGTTGACTTCCAGGCTTTGGGTGAATCTTATGTTTGCTTAGAAACCGTTGTCAGGATGATCGTGATTCAGCAGTGTCTATATTCTGCACGGCCTTAGTCAAGTGTAGCTGAAGGAGCAAGCATTCTGTTCCACGTGGCCAGTAAAGATCTGGAATCTTTAAATAAAAAAAAATAAAAAAAATGAATTCATGTTTTTAAGATTAAAATCTCCTTGATTCTTAACAGGTGAAAGGAAACAGTGAGGCAGTGATTCTCTGCCTTACTGCTATGTCCGCTGTCAAGTTAAAAAGCGGGGACCTCCCAGCAGGAAAGGTTTGTTCTGCAATAATTTTAACTGGAAAGTAAGCTGGGTCTGGCACCAAGCTATTCTGCCCTCTGCTGGTTGGAATTCCAATTACACCACTTGCTATGCTCAAAGCACTTCAGGCTGGCTTCTAGCATTGTCTCAGCTGCTGTATGTGTTGGCTGTTGGAGGCAAAGTCAGGCTCACGGGCCCTATGCTGTGTGCCATCGCTGTGCTACTCTGTGCCTGCAGAGCCTCCTGGCTACCGTGGAGACCATGCTGGAGCAGCTGCCTGGACTGCGCTCCACTCACAGCCGCTTCTATTGTGCCTCCAGCAGTTACTACCGGGCCACCGGCCAGCACGCTCTCTATTACAGACAGGCCTTGCGCTACTTGGGCTGTGTACAGATTAAGGACCTCTCAGGTAAATGGGCCATTTGCTGTGTGATGTCGCTGTGCTGCTCTGTGCCTCCAGCAGTTACTACCAGGCCACAGGCCTTGCGCTGCTTTGGCTGTATAGAGATTACAGAGCTTCGCTAACCCTTCTTCCATCTCCCTGCAGCAGACCTTCAGCAGCAGAAGGCTGTCCCGTTGGTGCTGGCTGCGCTCCTGGGTGACGGGCTCTACAACTTTGGGCACTTGGTGAGGACCCACTGGTCCACTGTACAGGGACATGTCATCAAGGATGTATGTTTGCAGTGCATGTCTAGAGAGCCATTTTACGCTTTGGAAGATGCACAGAACTGTGGTAATTGGCATTTGATGAAATGTGAAAGGATTGTATCTTCATATTCACAGGAATGGCCGTTTTGGCAAAATCTCTCCAAGAAAATGTTGTAAGGTTTAGACTTCCTGAACAAAGATGTGTAATATCCACAAATATGTCAGAATAATTAATGTCAAGGATCAGCTATGATAGTCATGATTTGAGGGCCTTTGCTGCGCTGGGTCTGATTTGCTTTGCCCATCAGGACAATTACAGGGACCTTGTCTGTAAGTTGGGTCATCCATCAGGACAATGCTCCAGAACAGAATAGCAGGTTTGTCAGGTTCTACACAAGAACTTAAATTTTGGACTCTACCTGAGACCTAAACACTACTTAGACCTGTGGCCTGTACTACGAAGCGGGGTTACTGGCTTATCGGGGTAACATGTCGGATTTAAGGTACCACAGTTTAAATGGACTTCATATTCGTTTACTTACATTTTGCCCAGACTACCTTAAATCCAACAAGTTACCCTGATAAGCCAGTAATCCCGCTTCGTAGTACAGGCCTCTGACCTGGACCTAGCGCTTTGTGGTTTTAAACCCACAAATGTCACCAAGGCCATTCTTCATGGAGGAGTTTTGTAATTCCTCTGTAGCTAACAAAACCACGCTTTTATTACTAAACCTCTTTGGTGTGGAGTAACCTATCCAAAGTAATGTCTTCCCACGTAGTGCTTTGAATACCTCCTAAAATGACATAATTGATACTTCACTGATCCCCATAAGGAAATTGTCTTTACATCTCCCACCAACATGCTCTCTGTAGGTGAGAGCGAGTTGTAGCACCAAAGGGCTGCCTGTGATCAGAAGTTCGCTGGTTTTGGCCAAAGGTCTGCCAAGTGTCAAATATACATGCAGAAAATCAACTTTTTAAATCTCCTTTTATAGTACTGGAATGCCAATGTCATTTTAGTCAAGTGTTTATTGTGGTTCGATTTAGGGCTTAGAGGGGAAGCTGTCTTCAGTTAATACCTACATTGAGTTGACCAACTGGCCCAGATTGGGTTTTTCTTTATTTTTGTTTACACATGCTTATCTTCCAGTTGACGCATCCCATCCTGGCAGCGTTGCAGACTGCTGAGACACAGTGGCTGGTCCAAACACTCTATGCCTTCAACCGTGGGAGCCTCAAGGGTTTTGATGCTCTGCGGGACTCTTGGAGCTCACAGGTATGAGTCAACCCTCCCCATGGCTGCTCCAGCGTCGTGGCGTGGCTGTCTTGGACTCCAGATGCAGCCCGTTCTCACCTGGAGTCTGCCACAGTTGTGTTAAGACCTAAAACCTATTAATTTGCAATAACAAGGGGTGTTTGGGAATGTCTTAAATTCTGATTGGTTTATGCAGTAATTGTATTCTCTTCTTGCTTATTAATGCTTGTAAACCAGTCTTATTGTGAGTCCACTAAACAGTTGTATTCTATTTTTTTATGCTGATACATTATCCTTTGTTGGCATATTTAAGTGTGTGTGTGTGTGTGTGTGTGTGTGTGTGTGTGTGTGTGTGTGTGTCCGTAATCCCCTCCATGTGTCACTTGTTTGCATGGTGTGAGAACATTGTGGCATACATTCTTCACATATGGATGGTATGACAAAGCCCACTTCATTATACTCTTAGACCGATCTAGCCGCCAATGAGAAGAAACTGAGAAAGAAGCTGCAGCTGCTGTGTCTAATGGAGGTAATGCTTGAAACAGGGTGTTATACTGTGTTTATTGTAACACAGCGGTTTAAGGACCAGCCTGTCGTTGATGACTGTTCCTTTATGCAAGTTACTTGCTTAGATTATAGGTGAATACATTTACGGAACCCGACTCTGTGTTCAAGCTCTCATAGCTCTGTGTTATGTTGGTAAGATGTATATTTCAATGGACCAGAAGTTGCATGGATTTGCAGATGATCTTCACAAGACCAGCACACTGCAGACGGATGACCTTTGAGAAGATTGCCATGGAAACGGAGCTGCCAATCAGTGAGGTGAGGAGTGTGCTTATTTATGAGACCTTGTTGGATATGTTTGAAAGCGCTTACTGGTATCTAGTGGGAACGCTTACAAATTCAAAAATGACATGGTTTTGAGGAATGAATATTGCCTGCTGTTAGAGTGCAGGGTTGCATGGTAATAGTGGAGTGTGGAGGCATCTTGCATTACTCCTGAGATCTTGGTGTGTGAGCAGGTGGAGCTTTTGGTAATGAAGGCGCTGTCCTGTGGATTGGTGAAAGGCAGCATTGATGAGGTGGACGGTCAGGTGCACATGACCTGGGTGCAGCCAAGGGTGATGGACCTGCAGCAGGTGAGGATGGCAGAGGTTTTGGGGATTTATATTATGAAGTGTAGGACGCTGAAGTTTCAGGTTGAGTGAGATGATTGCGATTAGCATGTAGCAGGTATAGGGAGTAATAAGTGAGTGAATAAGGGTTAGACCAGTAGGTTGTAGCATGGGAATTACTGAAGTCTTTATTTTGTAATCTTCAGATCTGTGGCATGAAGGGCTGCTTGGAGACATGGTGCAGTGGTGTAAGGATGACTTCTATGCTAGTGGAGAACCATGCTGATGAGGTGCTGGGATATCAGGCATGAACATTGGGCATAGTGTGAAAGCTGTAACTATGCTACTGAGGAGCATTTAAGACCTGCTGTCTGTTTATAAGGAATAAACATCACTGGTACTTCTATGGCCTGGAGAACCTTATTTTGCTGAAGAAAGTGACCATGCTGGTGTTCTAATGGGGGATTTATGAACAGACTTTGGATAGACTACTCCACAAGCAAAACGAGAACCTTCCAGGCACACTTTCAGAAGTAGGACGTGCTGTTAAGAAGGGCAATCATAGCATGTAGGGTATGCAAAGGAGATCAGGACTGGCATCACTACAGTGATTAAGGACCATGTGCTCCAGAATGAGCAGAAAGTGGTTGGCTATGTAACTTAAAGGGCAGCTGCAACACTTCCTCTGTGATGCCGTATGTCCATATACTACTGATTCGATCTTGGTATTAAAGAAAATTAAGTGGACCTGTGTCCATCTCATAAGAACAATCATCCTACGAGGTAGCAGGCTGAAGTATTCAAGGATTCTGAATTGGAACACATGCCTAATGAATGCTAGCTGTACTTTTTGCCCATTAGGCAATAAACACATCAAATCCTGCTAAGAAACGTTTGCTTGAAAATGATGTAGCATCCTACTTAGCAATGCAGAGGCTAATGTGGCAGAAGTGTTCAGCCACTGGAACATAACCCTCTCCTACAGGTTTCTAATGGCACATATTGTATGTCATCTCCAAATGTAAGAAGCTCTTGGTTCGTCATTAAATGTGTTTGTATTGTATATCCAGAAACACACACACGAGACGGGTGGCTTGCTGGTGCAGCGGCCAGCACTGTCACTTCACATTTATCAAAGTTACGCAAGCATAAAAAGTTGCTGAAAATGCGTATGTACTTTTTGTACAAGGTCCCAAATGTATCAAAATGGCAGGGAATAATGAATGTTTGTGGAAAAAAATGGTAAATCTAAAAATGTGAACTGGGATTTATTTTTTATTTTTTTCCACCACTTTAGTCTCTGGATTACATGACTGTGTAGACATTTTAATTTTCCATTTCAAATAGGCCTTGTCACCTCTTCCATGATTTGAAAATATCTCTTATTTGCTCTATATGTGAATTAGGTGTCAGACATTTGCATGCATGGATCATGGATCCATGTATTAAAATAAGTTACATACATGGTCCCCCTGGCCCGGTGTCCAAGGAAAACATTTCCTTTGAGAAACCTTGCAGAACAGTGTAGGAGCTTGAGGGACTCAAAATACCACTGAAAGACCCAGAACAACAACAAAAGATGGTATGTTGATATGCCCATATTGCTGTTTAAAAGGGTTTGCCTAAATACAACACTAACACTTGTTTTTAAATATTTATTTTCATATGTTGTATAGATCCGTTTTTTGAGTCTGATGGGAGACTGCAGCATTGGGGACGTCCATTATGTTGTATAGACTAATTATTTCACATTCATTAAATACTCCATTTTTCTAGAAGTGAAAATCTCAATTTTCTCTCATTCACGCTTTACATGGCAAACACATTTGGTTAATATGCTGAGTTCCCTCATAGCCTGCACACCTAAGTGTAATTAAAAGCAATTAAGTAATTGAAGTGACTGGTAAATATTATTTATGATTTTCAGGCAGAGGCAGAAGAACCTGGGGCATCTCCAGAAGATCAGCTTGAAGACAATGGCTGAGTTCTCTCATTTTGTCTTTCTTTTTTATTGATAGTTCTTCTTGGATAATTACAGCTCATTAGAGAAAAGAATATTTTAGATCTTACTATGGTCACTGAAGATTTTCAAAATTTTTCAGGTTTTTAAAGATCATGCAGTCCCTGGTTCTGAGAAAGCGGGGCAAGGACTAAAGAATAAATCTCCTAAAGGTTGCTGTAATTCTCACTAAAGATTTACAAGCATTCTGGGAAAGTGATGGAATGACCTAAAGAAGACCAAAAAAAGAGGTTGGTCCCCTAAACGTTCTGGAAATGTCCAGGGAACGTGATGGAAAGACCAGATAGGACCAAAAAGGAACATTAACGTTTGGTCCCCTGAATGATCCCAACACATCCCCAGAATGTCTCCAAAATAACACCCCCAGAACATCTAAAGAACTCCCCAATGTGACGTCCCAGGAATGTCATGGGAAGGTTACACGATGACCTCCTTTACACCAGTGGTGACGTTCTCAGAAAATAATGGGAACATACAATTTCTAGCTGGGAACAGCTTCACTGTGAGACCCTAACAGGACATTTTGATTTTAGCTTTGAATTCTGGAAGTCATGTCTTAAACTCTCACCTTGTTTATAAACAGTAAAGAATATTATAGGTCTCTCTTAATCTATTTTCATACTATTCTCCCATTTGGGTATCAAATACTACATACATGAAGATGATGAATAAAAATGCGTTTTTATTTTAAAGTAACTCTATGCAATAATACGATAAATTTCCCAGTCCTAAATATTACCAATCACTAATATATTAATTGAAGATGCAAATCTGCTATATTCCATTAGGACTTTGTATCACACAATTTTAGGTAACTGGGCGTAGCCCTAGCCTTTATAAAACTGCACATTGTAGTTAATGCACTGCCCTTTGTTCCAATTAAATTAGCGTTAAAATATCTTATCAGCAATCATATAAACATTACATCCTTCAAAACGGTGAGATTTGCAATTGCAATAACTTGTGTTTTCCAGTGTCTGTTGATACAATTACACTGTACAACTGTACAGCTGGTTGCCAAGGGAAGCTGCCCACTGTGGCATCCAGGGAGCTGGGGGTTAAGGGCCTTGCTGAAGGACCCACAGATGTACCAAGGCTGGGCTCAAACTGGCGACCTCCTGATCACAGACACAGAGGTTTACCCCACTGAGCCACACGCCGCCCCATATATTGACTTTTCGTCATATAAAACTCAGACGGTAAAATGAGAAACTTTGATAAATCATCAATAGCACCCATCAGCCTATCACGCAAATCACGAAATGAATGCAATTCCAACCAATAATATGGTAGTCTTTTAGGAACCAACAACCTATGCTGAACAAATGCACAGCAAGATTGATTGGGTTAGCAGAGCATACCACATGCTACTGTTTTGGTAATACACGAGTCATGGGAGAGCACTCCCACACAGGAATCTTCAAGTGTCAGTGAAGAAAACGACACCTCAGCAGCCACAACAACTTCTGAAAAATTAGATATTGGAAATAAATAAAGTAAAAAGATATTGGTGGTGTGGTGGTACCTTGGCAATTCAAAGTTCGTACTGGTGCTGTGTACTGTAAACTCTGCCAAACACTTGTGCCAACTTATATTGTGATAATTTTTCATAACAGGTGATATTGGTAAAGTATCACGATCTGCAGTTGCCAGCACACCATGCCAAACATGCACACTTCGAAGTTTCTCTCCTGGTCACTGCAGCTCCTCCAGGGCCCCGAAGCAACAGAAGAACTCCTTCTGGAACAGTGCATGCCTCAGGCCACTTCATAAAGCAGTCCCTGGCCATGGCGTCCAGGACAGCTACATCCACATGTTGCATGGGTGCGGCCACCAGGTACGACTGCAGGGGAACCCTGGACTACCAACTAGGACCCTTCTGAGCCATGCCCGTGTCACAGCAGTGCACAAACAGCATCCTGCTCACAGTTAGGCCAATAGAAACGCTGCCATAGCCTTGCTAGTATCATCTTTACCCTGGAGTGCCCAGCCCCGACAGCTCAGTGCACTGATCTCAGCATAACAGGGTGCAGGCTCTGGTGCACCAGCAGCTACAGCAGCTCCCCAGCGCTGTCTGCCAATCACCAGTGCCTGTACAGCAGGCCTTTGTGCTCCTCCAGGGTACCCCACTGAGAGTGGTAGGCCATGGTCTCCAAGCAGGAGCCCAGTCATTCACCCTCAACCAGCCACTCCCTCACCCTAGCTAGCATGGTGCTGCTGCACTGCTCCGTGATGAACTGCTGGCAATCGATGTCCAAGTGGGATTAATTGTCCAGTGCTGTGCAAATGGTAACTTACTGTGGCAAGCTGGTTCCGCTCTTCTGCCCAGCAGCAGTGTCAGCAGCTTGCAGTGATGCAGAGCCAGAGAGACATGGCATCTGCATTTCCATGCAGCTTCCCAGAGAGATGCTAGACCAAAAAGCTGTACTCTGCCAGCCAGAGGGCCTGTCCCTCCAGGTTGCTGAAGCTCAAGAGCCATGATAAGAACATGTGGCTTGTCTGCAACTGGATCTTCTGACCAGAGAGGAAGATGGAAGTTCTTGCAGGCCTGCACCATGACTAGCACCTACAGTTGAAACCAAAAGTTTACATACACTGTATAAAAAGACATATAACTTTTTTTTTCTTACTGTCTGACATTAAATCATACAAAACCCTTTCAGTTTTAGGCCCGTTCGGATTCACAAAATAATTTCTATTTGCTAAATGTCAAAATAATGTGTGAGAGAATTTTTTAGAGATTTTTTTATTACTTTCTTCAAAGTCAAAAATTTACATACACTAAGGTTACTATGCCTGTAAACTATTTGGGAAAGCCCAGATGATGATGTCACGGCTTTGGAAGCGTCTGATAGGTTAATTGACACCACTTGAGTTGATTGGAGGCACACCTGTGGATATATTTAAAGGCACACCTCAACACACTGCTTCCTTTTGTGACACCATGGGAAAGTCTAAAGAAATCAGCCAAGACATCAGGATGAGAATTGTGGACCTCCACAAGACTGGTTCATCCTTGGGAGCAATTTCCAGATGCCTGAAGGTGCCACGTTCATCTGTTCAAACAATTAAACGCAAGTATAAACAACAAGGGAATGTCCAGCCATCATACCGCTCAGGAAGGAGACGGCTCCTGAGTTCAAGAGATGAACGTGTTTTGGTGCGGAATGTGCGTATCAATCCCATAACAAAATCAAAAGACCTTGTGAAGATGCTGGCTGAAGCTGGTAAGAGTGTATCACTATCCACAGTGAAACGAGTCCTGTACCGAACATGCGCGTAAAGGCTACTCAGCGAGGAAAAAGCCATTACTCCAAAAGCGACATAAAAAAGCCAGGTTACACTTTGCAAATACACACAGGGACAAAGACCCTAACTTCTGGAGA